TGGGGGCTTCTGGAGGGGTCTGGGGGCTTCTGGAGGGGTCTGGGGGTGTCCTCAGGGGTCTGGGGGTGTCCTCAGGGGTCTGGGGGCTCCTGGATGGATCTGGGGGTGTCCTCAGGGGTCTGGGGTGTCCCCAGGGGTGTTGTCAGGGGTCTGGGGGTGGCTTCAGGGGTCTGGGGTGTTCTCAGGGGTGTCCCCAGGGGTCTGGGGGTGTCACCAGGGATTCAGGGTGTCCCAGGGTGTCTCCAGGTGTCCCAGGGCGTCCCCAGGGTGTCCCAGGGTGTCCCAGAATGTCCCCAGGTGTCCCCAGGTGTCCCCAGGGTGTCCCCAGGTGTCCCCAGGTGTCCCAGGGTGTCCCCAGGTGTCCTAGGGTGTCCCCAGCTGTCCCAGAATGTCCCAGGGTGTCCCCAGGTGTCCCCAGGTGTCCCAGGGTGTCCCCAGGTGTCCCAGGGTGTCCCAGGGTGTCCCCAGGTGTCCCAGGGTGTCCCCAGGGCTCTGTGCTCAGCCCCAGTTTGTGTCTGGGGGTGTTGAGGTCACTGTGAGCAGATCTGGGGGTGCCTGGGGGAGCTTGGGGCTGGATCCATGGGGGGATCCATGGGGGGATCCGGGGCCGTGGGGTGTGACAGGAGCAGGGTTTGGGGTCTGGGGTCTCTGCAGAGGGTCTGGGCACGCTGAACCCACGGGTGGGAGAATTTGGGTGGAAATCGGGGTCCCAGGGGGTGTTAAAGCCAGGCCTGGATGTGGCACTCGGGGACGAGGTGGGGACGAGGTCTCGGGGTGGTCCCAGGGGTCTCCCCCAGCCCCAGCAGCCGTGGTTTTGTGTGCTGGGGAGGGGTCTCACCCCCCTCACCACCCACCCCCCTCTGCTCACAGCGTGGTGGGCACGGAGGAGCGCATCCCCATCCCGCTCATGGACTACATCCTCAACGTGGTGAGCGAGGGCCAGCGCCGCCCCTCGGGGGTCCCCACGGGTCCTGCCCCCTCCCCAGGGCCTTCAGAGCCCCCCTGACCCCCTTTTCCCCCAGATGAAGTTCGTGGAGTCCATCCTGAGCAACAACACCACCGACGATCACTGCCAGGAGTTCGTGGCCCAGCGGGGGCTGCGGCCGCTCGTCACCATCCTGGGGCTGCCCAACCTGCCCGTGGACTTCCCCACCTCGGCAGCGTGCCAGGCCGTGGCTGGGGTCTGCAAATCCATCCTGGTACGGGCTGGGGGCTGCAGATCCATCCTGGGGGGCTGCAAATCCAACCTGGGGGGCTGAAAATCCATCCTGGGGGGCTGCAGATCTATCCTGGGGTGTGTAAATCCATCCTGGGGGCTGCAGATCCATCCTGGGGGCTGCAGATCTATCCTGGGGGGCTGAAAATCCATCCTGGTACAGACCCAGACGATGCTCTCTGTGTCCCCTCTGACCCTGTCCCACGAGTCCAAGGTGCTGCAGGAGGGTCCAGTGACCCCAGTGTCCCCTCAGTGACCTCTCAATGTCCCCCCTCTGTCCCCCAGACGCTGTCCCACGAGCCCAAGGTGCTGCAGGAGGGGCTGGTGACCCCTCGGTGACCCCAATGTCCCCCCAATGTCCCCCCAATTTCCCCCCAGACGCT